TTCAAGACTTTTTCTCGGATCATTAAGCCGTAATAGCCAGTCTAACATCTTTTGTTTGAGCACTCTAATTTAGGACCGGTATTTCGTCTAGGCGTTAACACACATAATCGAGCAAAAGTAGCGCGACCAATATAAAAGAAAATTAGCTAAACCATTCTATATCAATGTATGCCTATTCACCTTTGTTTTCTAGTTAAGAGTATATATAAAGGGGTAAGATAGAGCCTGATAGTCTTCTTGATCAAATATTAACGTGAGACTTTTACAATAATAAGTTTCAGCTCTGATGATCATCATCATATGAATGACGAAAGCTCAGTCCTTCTTCACCCGAAGCCAGGGCGAATGCTTCGTGTATTGCGTCAACTTGAACGTCGTATTAAAGCCAAACAGCTGCAGTACAACGGAAGTCAACCGTCGTCTTCTGGTAAGACTAACCTACAAATCTCTTCTTCATTCACTTTGATACAGAATTAAGGTCTCCCCAACAAAGCATTATCGTTTTAAAATTGGTTCTAAATTTAAATAATAAAGGCAATTTAAGCGATAAGAGAAATTTACCTCGCCATTTAGATAGAGGATATCAAAGGCAACAAAGCAGGGCATAAGTTGCGAGGGCTCCTGATCATTATCATTATATAATGAAGGAAGATTCAAAACCGATGAGGTGCCTTTCTCAGGTACACAATCGCCATCCTTCTTGATGATATTATCGTCACAACCATTCTGACACCCACGACCTACAAGTGAAGCTGCGGTCAGTCTGCATCTCCGTTTTACATCAAATCCAAATGTCTTAGGCTCAAGTCGATCTGTCAAGCTGTTGTACGCCATCATTTCGCCATCCAAGATGCAGTCTACCACGTGGCTAGCGAAGCCAGCATGTAGCCGAGGAGTAAGAGTACCGACTCCCGCGTTGATGTCATCTGTCGCTGAAAGCCAATCTCCGATTGAGCCATAACTAGCGGTCCATTCACGTGCATGACGAGACCAGAATCGGTAATGATCACCGGACTTATGAAGCTATTCAGATCATAATGAGGCGGAAACGAGTGTATGGATCGCAAATTTAAAAATATGGAAAACTATAAAACAGAAATAAAATTAGACTAATTGATAAATAAATAAAACTATAAGCAATATAATAAAAGAAGAGGGGAATAATCAGCAAGACGAGATGAAATAACCAACGAGACTGTAATACGAACAAAGACTAAACAATAGAGCAGAAGGATAAAAACCAAGTATTAAGTAAACCCAAAAAGGTACGAAGACCAAGATCGTGTAGCCTTAGGTATGGTCGCAACTCGGCCATATTGGAAAGAAGACCTAGAGGAGTACAACATGTCCAGAGTCCATAGAATGCCTGATGATTTTCAGAGTCGGACCGTGAACTTAAATCTTTTGCAGACATCGTAATCGGCATCATCAGTGGGTATTGCCATTCCTAGCGCCAAGCTACAACTCATCAAAACAACAACTGAAGTTAATACCTTGACCAAACTTTTTGCCGAAATGGCAGTGATATCACTCCTCTTTCTGTTCTGGCTCGTCTATCTATTCCATACCCTCTGATCACACTCCCGCCCTATCATAACTTCTGATTCGTTTACATTACACTCGTCAAAAGGTGTGCTCTTTTTGGAAAGTTTAATGTGGAATCATTAAATCTACTGTTATACATATCCCCTCTCTTTTTCGATTGGATGATCGGACTCAGGCTTCTGTCCTCATCTCCGTCATGGTCTCGTAGACCCATTCCTTATCTTCCTGGTTGGCCGATTTCACCCAGTTCCAGCCTCCGCGCACGGTTTACTTCAGGCGCTATTTCTCAAGGCTCTAGAAGCACGTAGACTGTCGCCTCACAGAGTAGAGACCCTAGAATCTGATTCCTATGCTTGCAGATATGAGAAATGTATAAGTATGTACAAAAATTGGATTTCAAAGAATCCCTTAATAGATTGAGCTTGGAGTATATTTCAACCCGCCTTCTAAGACGAACTGAAAGGTACCCGAGGCGAGTGAAAGGGATTCTAAAGTTGGCATCACAGAAAGTAGTTAGGGAATTGCCTTGGAGCTGTGACAAGATTTGTGCGAATAGTTCCTCGGCGCACCGCCCTGTAACCCCGATTAGTCCTTGCTGAGCTTTCGTCGGTCATGTTTCCCACATAGGCGCTACGACATGAACATTAGATCTTGTAACAGCTTGATCCGGAGAGAGGGTCAAGATATCCTTGAAAAGAAGGTAGTACTGAGGAAAGTGTTATATTTTCTATATAAATGGTCTTGACGTTCTTCCCCTTCGACAGGTTACACTATAGCAGCATAATGACATTTTATCTAGCCCAAAATATGTATTTCTCTCAATCTTATTTGACAATATTCTAAAATAATTGTTAACAGTCCGTGAACTTGGTACATTCCCAGACGTTTCGCCGGGATCGTCAGTGAGCCTTACCATCCTTAGCACAACATTACAACTCATCAAAGAGACAAGAAAAGTCGATCATTTGAAGAAATATCTGCTAAGCAGTTGTGAAATCTCTCCTATCTTGGGCTATTTACCTATCTTGCAATATCACAATTTTTAACTTATTAATCTAAACCTATTTGAAACATATTCGCACTCCCCACTGGTTTCAACATCCCTTTCACTGTGTTGGGAGTGTGGATCCAAGGCTGCGGTTTAGTTTGCAATCCTCTTGCTTTGGGTACTATCAGAGTCCCTCTCTTGCTCCGTAGGATCCTTCCTTTATCTGTTTGTTTGATTGATTTCACTATATCGCTGCCACCGTATCCGTGCCTCTCAAGGCGTTGTGTTCTACACTTTACATTAAGCCTTTGATAGCACGTATACACCAGCCTCACTGAGCAAGCCCCTAAAGTCTGGATCGACTTCACTTGTCTTTTTGACGAGTTATAGTGTGGTGCTAAGGGCGGCAAGGCTCACTGACGATGCCGGCGAAACGACTGGGAATGTACCAAATTCACAGTCCGACTGGAAATTAGCATGCAGACTATGGACTTTGGACATAGTACGTTCCTCCAGATCTTCTTTCCAATATGACCAAGTAGCGAAAATAAGGTCAAACAAATTCTATACATAGAAATGAGAACGCGAGCATAAAAAATGCCACCATGTTTCGCCAATATATTTCTGTTCGCTATACAGTAAACTCCCGATCAATCCCATCCTTCCATTATCTCATGTGGGGTGGATACTTTTGCGAAGAGTTATTTTTTCCCTCATGGTCAGCTGAATATCCCATTTTCGTAGTATTGGCCGTAGTTTTACAGTTAGTTCGCATGAAGGTAGTCTTTCTTCATCCTTACTATTTTTCCATAATCCCCGTCCTGCCATCGGCTATAAAGGGCCCATGTATTTCTTTCTATTACTGCTCTCATATATCCGTTGCCGAGACGAACCCGAATCAAGACACGTCAAGATATGCATGATTAGAGGTAAATTGATATGAAAGACAGTTTCATTAGACAAATTGCTTAAAGAAAATAATAAGGGATATGGGCAGTGCTGAGCCAAATAAATAAATATAACGCATTACAGTGCTCAAGTTACAAAAGCCATTTTATTAAGTAGTGATCTATTTTTCGCAACTTGATCATGTTGTCAGGGCGACCTAGTAGTACGCACCTCGTCCAAAGTAGTAGTAGTGAGTAGTAGTAGTCGTCATCGTGATAATTCCCAGTGTCGGATCGTGGACTTGGTACATTGTCAGAAGCTTCGCCGGCAACCTAGTCAACATTGTCAGTGAGTCTTACCATTCTTAGCACCAAGTTACAACTCATCAAAAGCAACTTGTGTATATTCGATTCCTCTAGAGGTGTGCCCTTTTTGGCGAGTTTAGTGAAGTGTTATCACACCTCCGTTTCGACTTTCCTGGAGTGCTGATCCGACTCGGAGCCCATATCCAAATCTCCCTCTTTCTGGTTAATGATTTCACTAAGTTCCCCTTGCCATTGCCCATGGTCTACCACAAGCCTTTGGTGAAATGTATAATGTGGCCTCACCTAGCAGATGTCCTAGGTCAATATAAGGGATTTACTCCATGGATCATCTCTATAATTCAACCTATAAACCCTAAACAAACTGTGAGCGTAAAGGGTCTTGTTTTTTTCCTTCGTAATCATCTGGATATTACATTTTGTTAATATTAGCCGCAGCTTTTGTGTTAGTTCGAAGAAAGTTAGAAATATCCACTTTCGTGAGTCTTTCTCCATTAATATTTTTTCATAAATCGTGAATTATTTTGGTATATTACTTCTTTCAAACAATCTTATCCTAAGTGTCCCATTCGAGTGAATGATTTCAACATCCAGGAAAAGTAGCCATCCATCTTACTCCACAGTCCTTGTGCATTTGATTTTTCCATCCCTTGGGTATGCAAACTTAAGGAATTCATACAATTTTCCGCTTATATTCAACCAAAGTAACGAAGTAGTCGTCCAGGTACCACATCAGCACGCTTTGGTTACAGCGATGGCGTCTTAGTTAAATGGAGGAGAAAAAGTTGACGATTACCTCAAGTTTGTATACCAGATTGATGAAAGAATCAAATTCAAAATGGAAATAAAGAGGAGTGGTTACCTTTTCTGGATGTTGAAATAATTGGATAGAATGGGACACTATAGGGACCATTGTTAAGAATTAAGTCATATGCCAGAATAATACTTAGTTTCAAGTCTCATCCCAACTACAGACTGAATACCAGAATAATAAGGAGCATGATTAACAGAGACCAACGATTAACGGACGAGAAACTCAAAGATAAACACTCAGACAAATGAGGTATGTAGAAAAATTGAGTTTCTAACAACATCAATTAGACAAATTGATTCGTGTGGCCCTTCGCAAAGGATACCCGAAAGAAGTAATATAAAGAAATATAGAGATTGTGAAAAGCTGGTGGCAGGACTGGGATTCTAAAAGAAAGAGGATGGAGAAAGACCCATAAAAATGAACATGTCTGCCTTCCTGTGAACTAACTCAAAAACTACGGCTAATACTAAGAAAATGAAATATTTAAGTGGCCACGAAGGAAAAAGCAACGCTTCACATGTTTACCCGCGAGACATGAAGAGGTAGACAAATTGGATTGCTCGGGAGTTTGAGACCTAGCACGCGGATTCTGCCAACAGTTAATAGATTTTAGATGTATTAATCCTATTTCGTTTAGGATGATAAGGGTACTGGAGGTTGAATGCTACCACAATGATATGAGTGAGCGTGATGTTTCCATTGAATTTCACATAGCCAAGTTACACGCTGCACTATAATAATTCGACTACCGCTAGGGGAGTTGACAAGACCTAAGCGAATTCGAAACTGCAGTCGGCCCTGAACGAGAGCACTTTTTAGGA